TTGGGGGAAGGCCTATCTAAGTTTCTTCCATATATGTTCTCCTTGTCGTGGACTTTAAATATGTTTTTACTTACTTCACTTTGTTAACACTTTGCCTATCGCCATCAAGAGTGGTGAAATTCAGTTTTTTTTTACTACCAGTTCTGTGGGCGTGGCTTGATGGGCATGGCAAGGGAAGGATATTGCAAAATCTCCATTCCCTCCCCACTCCAGGGGGAAGGATACTGCAAAATCTCCATTCCCTACCCACTCCTGGGAGAAGGATACTGCAAAATCTCCATTCCCTCCTCATTCCTGGGGAAAGGATATTGCAAAATCTCCATTTCCACTCCACTCTGGGGCCAGCCAGAGGTGGTATTTGCCGGTTCTCCGAACTACTCAAAATTTCTGCTACCGGTTCTCCAGAACTTGTCAGAACCTGCTGGATATCACCCCTGCATCAAGATCATCTATCTTCCTTACTCTCCAGAGGAAGCGATGTAATGGACACAAAACCATAAAGGTTCTAACCAAACTATCCTAGTAAATCTGAAGAATGAGACAGTGGCCAGCTGGTTGGAAGAGATTAGACTATATGTCAACGTCAAAGAAAGAAGACTCAATAGCGCAAACTACCATGCAATCTTTTTTTTTTCTTTCTCACGCTAGCAAAATGCTTAGGTTTGTCCAATGCAGATTAGAACTCCACGTGAAAAGAGAGATGTCAAGATATTCAAGCTGGTTTTAGAAAAGATCAAGGAACAAGATACATTGGCGCCGAGGTGCTCGGGATAACTGAGGAAAATTAAAGAATGTCAAAAAGAAATCAATATACAATGATTATACCGTGAGGCACATATTCTTTTTGACATTCTTATGATTGATTATACAGTGAAGAGCCAGTGTGTGCCGTGGTTAAGGCACCAGCTTAGAAACCAGGAGACTGCGAGTTCTAGTCCAATGGCGGGCTGCTGCTGGTTCGGGCAAACCGGTAGTTCCGACAATCAGCTGGCTCCGCCCACCTGCCCCTGCTCTATCCTGTTCTGTTTCCTTCTTTCTGGCTCAGCTGATTCACGCAGCACAGCTGATTTCGGTGCCTCCGCTGTTCTACTTACTGGGGCTGCCTTAGAAGGAAAGCAGTTGAGCTTCAAATTGCTGTATCTTGAACGCTGCACGTAAGCAAGTTAGGTGCGTGCGTTAGGCGCACATGATCACGATCAACGAACCAGTTGCAGCCCACCCCTGTTCTAGTCCCTGTTCTAGTCCCTTGTTAGGCACAAAGCCAACTAGGTGGACTTGGATCACTCCAAGTCCTCTCCTTCAGTCCTAGAAAGGAAGCAATAGCAAACCACTTCCAAAATCTTGCCAAGAAAACTGCAGAGACTTGTCCAGGCAGCTGGTAGGAGTCAACAGTGTCAAAGGCACCAAATAAATAAATGGAAAAAAAAACCTTTTAATTGTGTGATTATGTAAATCTGGAGAATGTTTTTAGGAAATAAACATCTCGAGGAACAGAAAACCACAGCTTGAACGATACGTGGCAAAATGGGCTGGTTTCTGGTAGGTTGAATTGGAAAGTGATGTGCTTGGGTTTTAAAATTGGAAGAAGAAACATGGATGCGCAAAGCTGCCAAAAGGCAGGAATGGCTCCTCAGGAGGAGGTCTCCTTGGGAGTAAGGCTTGGGACTAACTGGCCACTCCCCTAGCCTATTTAAGGAATGACGACAACTGAGGCAATTTGCAGAAAACAACTTTGTTCATATTCCTTCGGGTATTGACTCCAGAAACGTCTGATTGGCTCTTGCTTCTCTCTTGTCATTTTTCCTGCAAATTGCTTCTGGACATTCTGCCAACCACAGTAAGCTTACGGTTATCTGAAAGACTGTGCCTCAGAATTGAGTTATTATTTCTTGGACTATTGTTGGCTGTTAATGAAGTTAAATTAACAGCCCTTGTTCAGAAAAGACTGATTTAAACTGTACTTGTGTTTGAACAACTACTAAGAAAGCTCATTAGTAGTCCTTAATTAGTAAACTAAGGTTTGTTCGGACTTTGTGTGTGCTGTGTTCTTTGTGGTCCGTAGCTGGGGCAGAACAAAAACCTTAATTCCATGTCTTTATCCTACAAAGGTCAGAATTGTGCAGTCAATGGTTCCCCCTGAAATACTTTATGGAAGAAAAAGTTGATGAAAAGGGTATCCTGTTTCAGGTTTCCAACTCATATACCCAGTTGTTAGGTAAAAATAACATTTTACTCAGAGCAAATAAGCAATTTACTCAAGACAATGGCAGGCAAGGAAAGGAATCAAAACAGAATCTTTGGAAAAAGAAAGCTTGCCCCAGTGGTTTTGCTTTCAATGGAACACACAGAAAGTAGTCAACATTCAATCCAAAGTTCAGAGAGCCAAGTCAGATTTGTGTAAAACAAACAACTTAGCCTTTTCTTCACTTAAAGAATTCTGAATTACAGAGACTGGAAAAAATTGAATTATTTGGAGTGAAAAAAATTAGAATTAAAATATCACAAAATTATAAGTAAGCTTTTAAATTCTGTAGACCCTTCATCAGACCAGGTGGGAAGTAAAATCAGAGGCAGAAAACAGAGGAAGGAGCAGAAAAAGTAATTCATCCATTTCGTACAACTTGGGACAGCTATTGCTAACCAAATGTAGGTGGAGTGATTGAGAGTTTTGACATCATGCAATAAGTATTTTTTGAGGAGGCGGGTAACAAAACTGAAAAGAGGAGATGACAATGAGAGTTGACATCCATCATGTTGTAGAAAGAAAGAATTATCTTTATCTCTTTCCTACAGGCCCACTAAGCATTTAAGAGGTTTGTCAGCATGATTTCCTAACTGGTTTAAAAGGCTGCAACAAGTCAATTCATGTTTTGAGAAGGTACATTTTCTGTATAATTAGATCAACAACCTTAAATCTCATGTGTGATGCTCTCTTATCACTAGTTCTCACCTATCATTTTGTGGTGTCCGATTCTTGGCGGCTTTATAGGCAAGTGCTCTCCGTCCTACCCTGTCAAGCACAACTTCTTTCCGTTGTTGGAGGTTCATCTTTGGATCAGCTTCAATGTTGTCCAGCCAGCGTGTTCTTTGCTTGCCCCTTCTTCTTGTTCCACTAATCATTCCTAGCATCATTGCCTTCTCCAATGAATTTGCATGCAAGACCGGGCCAAAGTAAATGACCCTCCAGAACATCTTCCTTTGAGTCCACATCATTCCTACTAAGTGCTTAGTTTCTCCTCGTGCTGGGCAAATCCTTCTGTTTCAAATGTGTTAATTGAACAATTCAATTCATAATGTTGCCATTTGTTTTCTTGTCTTAAAACATATGAAGAACGGTTGCTGGAATTGGGCGCGTCTAGTTTAATGAAAAGAAGGACTGGGGTGACATGATAGCAGTGTTCCAATATTTGAGGGGCTGCCACAAGGAAGAGGGAGTCAAGCTATCCTCCAAAGCATCCAAAGGCAGGGCAAGAAGCAATGGGTGGAAACTAATCAAAAGAGAAGCAACTTAGAACTAAGGAGAAATTTTCTGACATTTAGAACAATTAACCAATGGAACAACTTGCTCCAGACGTTGTGGGTGCTCCAACACTGGAAGTTTTAAAGAAGAGATAGGACAACTGTTTGTCTGAAATAATAGAGGGTTTCCTGCCTGGGTTGGAGTAGATCTCCAAGATCCCTTTCAACTCTGATATTCTGTCTTTATATTGTATGATTCGTTAGAACCTTCGGCATTGCAAATTTTATGCCATTAAGTTTAATTTGTTAAGAAAAATCCATCTTGAAGGCCACTGTGAGACATCTTGCACATTTTTTTTTGAATGAAGGATCCAGTTGATTTTAATAAAGCTGAAAATACTTTCTGGGGCTATTGTTTTAATTCTAGTATCTAAGCCTGAATGGGCATGAGTAGTATTATTGAAAATGTCATAGACTTTAGAGTAGAAGACCCCCTTCTATAATCCCTTATAATTCTATGATTTTATGATTTATTCATTCATTCCTCATCAAGATTCTTATAAGGATCTGGGCTTGCTAACACTACAAATAAAGACTATTTTTAAGTAGAAAACTCTATTGGTTTAAGGCTAGATAATATTAGAATGATTTCAGCATCATTTCTCTCATGTGGTATTGCAAAATTGACTACATAGTTTTCAATTTGTGAAATCAATCTATCTTTTCAATTCAGTGTTCATGTGTTAAAATATAAAATATTTCTGGCATCAAATCTGTTTCATTGGAGACATTGTTAAAACAAGGGCTATTCATTTTGGATCTTAAAAACTGTGGCTTGTTGATACTCCATGCATGGTTACTTAATAGGCTTTTTTTTCTGTAAAAAGGGACCTTTGAAATTAATTAACATTGGTCAAAAACTGCGTTTGGTACACCGTTCCATCTAGGTTAATGACTGCAATATTTAACATTCCTCCCATAGTGTGTAAAATACCGCTGTGTTTGTTTCCAAGATTTATAGTAACCCTATGACAGATACTACAGATACTACAACGATACTATGGTGGATACTACGTCTGATTCACTGGACTGCTCAGTGACTGATATATTGGGAACTCAAAACTGAATGACTGTGATGTGCTTTTGGGGGGAACCAGCCTTAAAATGCCCATTGCAGCTGGCCCAGAATGCGGCAGTATAAAATTAAGTGGAGAGGTCTTGCATTACCTTCAATATGAAACAGCTTTACCAGCTGCTAGTTATCTTCCGAAACCACTCAAGCTTTCACAGTATATGAAATCATATGCATTTATGCTGCCGCCAGCACCATCAACTCTCACACAGTCCATCCCATCTCATGCCCTTATTTATGCATCAATAAGGGACCTTGCACAGGTCCAACAACTATTTGGTAATGTGAATGCCCGCTTTGGCTTTCTCCACAGCAAAGAGCATCCTTGTGGAACAAAGTGCTGTTGATACTGAAGCAAGTCACTTCCTTTTTTTGCTGTGTAGCAGGATCCCAAAACACACTTATTTCCTCAGGCTCCATTTTTCTTTATTGACGTGTTTACTGTGTTCTGTAGGCCACACAGAATAATTAAGGAAGTCAGTTCTAGCTACCGCTCTCTGCAAACAAATAGGCTGTTGAATAGCAATAGCACTTAGATTTATATAGTGCTTCGTAGTGCTTTACAGCTCTCTCTCTCTCTCTGCAGTTTACAATGTCAGCAAATTGCCCCCAACAATCTGGGTCCTCATTTTACCAACCTCGGAAGGATGGAAGGCTGAGTCAACCTTGAGCTGGTCAGAATCGAACTTCTGGCAGTGGGCAGTCAGCCTGCAACACTGCATTTTAACCACTGCGCCACCAGGGCTTAAATTGTTCTGTTTATATCATAAGCAATATAACATTAGAGCATATGTCGATAAGAGGCTGAATGTTCTTATGACCCATTTTTGAAGAAAAAACTGTAAAAGTTGAATCTTTTCTCCTTTAGCTGTGCTTTCCCAATTCATAAAAATTTAAATTATTTAATCGTGACACACTTTCCTTTCCTCAGTACGGGAACACAGAGCTATTCTCTGTTCTCTTTAAAAAGAGCTATCCTCTTTTTAAAAACAGCGACTAATTCTTTCCAAGGACCTATATTCTTCGTATCAAAACTATCTCAGACAGAACAAGGTGCCAAAAATAAAATTCAGAATTTGCTGCCTTAAAAAAAAAAAACCTCTGTGGGAAAATTCACACATAGCACGGACACCCTTTTGGAGTTAAATGTATCAAAGGATTTGAAGCTACAGTGTTTTTTAACCAAGCAGACAATTCATAAACAACATGTACTTCAATCCCAAAGAACGCATTCGGGCCACATATTTCAGAGTTTATTAATTTTCTGGAAGATCCTTTTCCAATGCTTATAAATATATGGGTTTAACCTGGAGGACTATATTTCTTTACAATCCGACTAGTCTGAAACAGCTCTGTGATCGTCACTAATTATATGAACTTGATTCAAGAGCTTCAAGAGTGCGTTTGGATTGTACGGGAAGAGACCTTTTGCATGTAGCCTAGAAATCGACTTCTGCAATTGTTGGAAACATGCAGTTGCTTTCTGGAAAGTTTCATCTGCTAATTTAAATTCCGGGGGAGATAGTTTGCTGCTGGAATCTGATGAAATATTCAAATCTTGCTCAATGAAAAGGAGCCCTTCTTGCTTGGAGGTTTTTGCCTTCTCATCAAGAACTGCTTTATTTGGACAGGCCCGATAGTTTAAAGCTTCTTGTTCTGGGTCTGTCAAACGTTCTTCTCTTACGCATTCTACATCGGAATCTTCTGAGCTGTCATAATCAACCAGCTTCTGAAAAGCCCCCGATAAATGTGGGTCACTAGATGCGGTTACAAAATCAAAATGGTTGGGTTGCATGGCATGACTGTCTCCCGGACGGAGGGTAGACAAATTCAGGGAGGAAGGCAAAAGGGCCTCCGTACAAGGCCGTGTATCATATGCAGTGATCTGCCCAGTCAGATCTGAGTTGGGGACCTTTTCCTGATGGCAGGACAAGTTCTCCCCCCAAATTCTGAGATCTTTGCCAACGGTGAACTTAAAGCATTGGGAAACTTGGACGAAGTGGTGCCAGTCTTCTACGAGAAGCTTCAAATATTGCACAAAGTATTCCAAGAAGCAGGTTTCCGATGAAATCAAGAAATCCAGGAGAACCGTGGCATCAAACGCGATGCTCCCTAACAGACATAAGAAGAGGCAGTGGGGATTATAACCGTTCTGATGTGTCCGATTGTCCTGGGTTCTTTCATCTGAATGGCAGAGGGTGAAATTAACGTCGTGGCGGAACCTCCAAAATAAGCAAGAAACGTTGCAAATTACAACATCGTTTTATCAAGAACTCTTTTAACAGTAGAGCTGAATTTACGTTTATTATTTTTGGCTAAATAAATCAAGACCGTTAGAATGATCACGGTGCTCAAGCATTCTCTCCCACTGTGTGCTCTAATTCAATGCACATTGTAAGGATAAAAGGGAAGAAGGTGGACCAAGTGAAGAAAGAGAACATGCTTGTTTTCGCCTCCATCAGCTGTAATTTAACATTAACTTAGGAGATGGAAAAGGCAGCCATCGGTAATTAGTAATTATTAATTAGGAGAACTTGATCACTCTGTGGGCAGAGTGGACACAAAGTATAGTTTAAGGTAAAGGTAAAGGTTCCCCTTGCACATATGTGCTAGTCGTTCCCGACTTTAGGGGGCGGTGCTCATCTCCGTTTCAAAGCCAAAGAGCCAGCGCTGTCCAAAGACGTATCCTTGGTCATGTGGCCGGCATGACTAAATGCCAAAGGCGCACGGAACGCTGTTACCTTCTCACCAAAAGTGGTCCCTATTTTTCTACTTGCATTTTTTATGTGCTTTCGAACTGCTAGGTTGGCAGAAGCTGGGACAAGTAACGGGAGCTCAGCCCGTTACGTGGCACTAGGGATTCGAACCGCTGAACTGCCGACTTTTCGATCAACAAGCTCAGCGTCTTAGCCACTGAGCCACCATGTCCCAAAGTATGGTTTAAATATATTTAAATAAATAACAAATATTTGTCTTCATTTGTGAACTAACAAGCCATTGGAGAATAGTATTTTGTAGTGTGTCACTGAAATAAAGTAAAGGGAAAGAAACTGGAGTTTAGTAGGGACAATCTATGTTTTATCCAGGTAGTCTTCAGGTAAAATTTTTGAGTAGAATTCAGTATGCAATGATCTTCCATATCCTGCATAAGGAAATCCAAACACAAGGCAACACAAAGTAACTAGGGGCAAGTAAGATGTTTCAGACAACTGCCATAAACAGAATCAGTGGTGATGGATTATGGGACTTCCAAGATACCTAGAACACAGAGTAATAGGGTTGGAAGGGACCCTGTTGGTCTTCTAGTCCAACCCTCTGCTCAAGCAGGAGACCCTAGACTATCCTGGACAAATCTCTTTTTGAAAACCTCCAGTGATGGAGCATCCACAACTTCCGAAGGTAAGCCATTTTACTGATTAATTGTTCCCACTGGGGGGGGGGACGGGGGGATTTCTCCTTAGTTCTAGATTGGAAAAACCCTGGAAAAAAATAAAATATTATATAAATAATGGAAATCAGTAAAATCTGCAAAAAAATAAAAATAAAATAAAATAACTGGAATTCATTTTAAAGCACATGTTTGGAACCTACATCCTAAACACTCTTGCCTCTTCCCTACGGAAAGGGAAATGAACTGATTTCACAACAAAGCTGAAGAACTACCGTATTTTTTGGAGTATAAGACACACCTTAGTTTTTGGGGAGGAAAATAAGAAAAAAGCTGATTGGCAGGTGGATCTGCCTCCCGGAATACCCCCAATCAGCTGTTCCCAGAGGCTCTGTTTGGGGGTTCTTTTCTGAAGTTTCGTTTCTGATGCTTTTTTCAGCCTCTGAAACCTCATTTTGAGTAACTGGGCGGGGCTACATTCAGCGTATAAAACGCAACCAGATTTTCACCCTGGGGGGGAAAAGGTGTGCCTTATACTCCAAAAAATATGGTATGTCAAAATTTCAGAATACAATTCTCTCTGTTTCATTGAGAGTAATTAATGGACCAGGAGATTCCTTCACTGATCTCTCTGTCAATGTTTCTATGGTCTTATTTAAAGGACAGGTGCATATTTGCTTATCACGTTTATGATACGGAAGAATGCTGTACATCTTCTTTGTACTGCTTGTCAAATTCCTTGTATATGGAAGAAAAGAAACTCTAGATAATACCTGATTCTAAATGCGAAAATTATTCATGCACTACTGTATTTGAGAGGAACAAATAAGCTTGCTAGATTTGTCCCAGGAACTGAAGGAATTGGGAATAATTTTGTCTTAGAAGGAGTGAGACGCTGGAAGCAAAATGAAACGGAATGAATGAGTGTTTCAATTTGAACGCTGTTTGCCTGAACTGTGTGTTCACTTTCAAGATATTTATGACGATCGATTAATTTTTAGCAAATACAAGTTGATGGCTTCTGGGAAAAGGGGCACTAACCTTTTCGAGTTTAAATAAATTGCCAGTAATGACTTTACAGCTTCCACCATCTCATCATCTTGTTCTATAAACAGAGAAATCCACATGCAAGGGTGTTCAAGTAAGCAGATACTGGCAGGCGGCTTCAGGTGGCTTTTTAAGACTGTCAAGAGTAGACCCATAACACTCTCCAAATGAACTAAAATGAAGAAGAAAAAAAAATCAATGGCAGCCCAAAATCATATACATAAATACATTTGCTTTGGATTAAAAATTTACAATATCTGAGGAACAACGATTTTTTTTTAGCATTACATGTTCTATTGAAATGTTTTACAGGGAATGCAAAGGAGAAACAATAGTGAAAATTCTATTTTGTAGGGAAGTCATTTCCAAAACCTATAGGTGACCAAAAGTGACAATATCTTGCTTGCCAATGTCTTTTAAATCTAAAACTCAGGAAGCTCAAACTGCCCAAGGAGCTGCTGATCCAGTTCTACAGAGGAATTATTGAGTCTGTCATCTGCACCTCTATAACTGTCTGGTTTGGTTCTGCAACCCAACAAGACAGACCCAGACTTCAGAGGATAATTAGAACTGCAGAAAAAACAATTACTACCAGCCTGCCTTCCATTGAGGACCTGTATACTGCACGAGTCAAAAAGAGGGCTGTGAAAGTATCTACAGACCCCTCGCATCCTGGACATAAACTGTTTCAACTCCTAACCTCAAAACGACGCTATAGAGCACTGCACACCAGGACAACTAGACACAAGAACAGTTTTCCCCCAAATGCCATCTCCTTCTTAAACAACTAATTCCCACAACACTGTCAAACTATTTACTAAGTCTGCACTACTATTACTATTAATCTTCTCATCATTCCTATCACCCATCTCTTTCCACTTATGATTGTTGCTTGCATCCTTACGACTTATATTGATATTGTTTCCTAGTATGATTTGATTGCTTTTTTGTACCCTATGACTATCGTTAAGTGTTGTACCTTATGATTCTTGATGAATGTATCTTGTCTTTTATGTACTCCGAGAGCGTATGCACCAAGACAAATTCCTTGTGTGTCCAATCACATTTGGCCAATAAAGAATTCTATTCTATTCTATTCTATTCTATTCTATTCTATTCTATTCTATTCTATTCTATTCTATTCTACTCTACTCTACTCTACTCTATTCTATAAAATCTTTAAAGAAGCTTTTCACTTCAAATTAAAACTTGCCACAAAAGGCAAGAGCAGCAAGGAAAAAAATATCCTAAAAACATATCAACTTTACTGTCTTTTTGTTTTCTTCTTTTTCCTTCCATGTCTCCATTTACAGTGATTGCAAGAATTTGGTGGGATCTAACCAGCTACAGGTAGGATGGCAATAAAAAAAAATTAAAAAGATATTTTTACTCGGGTGCCAAGAACATATAATATCACTACAGATAGTTCTTGATTTACAACAGTCCCTTTAAGTGACCGTCTGAAGTTACAGCACTGAAAAAAGTGACTTAGGGCAGTTGCTCGCACTTATGACCATTGCAGCATCCCTGTGCTCCTGTGACCAAAATTCAGATGCTTGGCAACTGACTTATACTTATGACGGTTGCAGCGTCCTAGGGTCACGTGATTCCCCTTTTGCAACCTTGTGGCAAGCAAAGTCAATGGGGAAGCCAGATTCACTTAACAACCATGGCACTCACTTAACAACTGCAGGGATTCACTTAACAACTGCGGCAAGAAAGGTCGTAAAATGGGACAAAACTCACTTAACAAATGTCTCGCTTAGCAACATAAATGTCGGGCTCCATTGTGGTCGTAAGTCGAGGACTACCTGTACAGTCTTGGGAGACAAGAAGCCATTTTTAAATACCAATAAACGCTACTGGTACTGACTTAAGGACTTAGTGAAACGATGCAAAGTCTGGGCTCAGGGAAGAAAGGATCCATTTTCAAATTCAACGCGGCACAAGCTTTTTGCCCATGTAACAGATTAAAAGTATTCACGCCTACAGCTTCCATAATCCAGAAAACCGATCCTGTGTACATATCATTATCCACTCCACAGAAAACTCTCCACTTTAGCTGAGCCCAATCTTTTATGGACTGTATATCGAGACTTCTGGGAGTGGGAACTTCTTAATTAAGTTGGGAGACGCAATCAAACTGAATTTCAAATTGCACACTACACTGAACACCTCAATTCTCTATAGAGCCTTTGGATTACAACACCTGCTCAAATTAAACACAATCCTCCCACCTCTTGTACGATGTAACTTTGCTATAGACACCTCTCTATGCCACGATGGGAATATTCTCAATGTACTGAAGCAACATTTTACTGAAATGCCAGATGAATGAATAACTGGCATCTTCTCTTAAAAGTAATTTATTTCTCCGGCGTCTGCGAAACCAAAATTTGCACACCCATTCTGCAGTCACAGTTCTTTCTGTACATCTTTATGATTTGATCCTTAAACTCTATTATATGGGTTAAAAGAAAACACCATCTTTAATATTTTCTTATTATTATTACTGGCGTTGCTGACGTTGCTTAAGATTATCTAGGCAGTGAAAGGCAATCAACTTTAAAGCTTTAGTTAATCCGTAATCTAGTAGCTAAAGCTTGTGGTTTAAGTTATGGAACAAAAAGTTCTCGAATTACTATGATAAGTCCACGGATCTGTCTGGAAAAAATATTTCTCAAAGCATGTGTAACTTATAAGTAGATAGTAAATCCTCTTCAGCATACTGGAAGGAGAACTAGTTCAACAAATAAAGGAGAGAAAAATTGGTGGATTAACACATTTCTCCCTTCCACTCAATAAAATATTAACTTCCATTCCTCTAAATAGGGGTGTCAAACTCGATTTCATTAACGGCCGCATCAGGGTTGTGTTTGACCTCGGGGCCCAGGGCATGGCCATCTTGATGTCACTTGTGTCAGGGGCATCTGTGGTTGCCCGAATGCTCTGCCAGTGAAAACTGGCTCCCGAGCTCCGTTTTCGGCCACAGCAGCCCCTTGCCATCCTCTGCCAGTGAAAACAGAACTCAGGAGGGTGCACGCATGACCCTTTCAAGCTCCATTTTCACTGGCAGAGGCACTGTGGGCTGGTCTTTCACTGTTCTCAGGGCAGCCCACGAGCCAGATTTAAGCGCCTTGAGTTTGACGCCCCTGCTCTAAACTGCTATCACTTCAAAACCAAAAAATATATATTCAAAAATACGGTGGCAACCCCATTCGTAGGTGGTCTGCTCACAAAACACTTTCCTGTGAAACTTTGAAGACACTTTAGGAAGCAAAATTACCTTGTGATTCAGTTTTGTAGGCAAAATCCTGGATCTTCGTCTCTAACGCTTTAAGCAGAAGCAAGCTTAAGGATCTGAAGATCACTACGTCGAAGTTACCCTTCGCCTGTGCTTGAGGTTCAATTGTGCTACCATCAAAATGGCGGGTGTTTCCACTAACACACAACCTGCCCAGCCAATCAGAATTCACAAAGTGTAGCACGGTGTCAGCCAATGCTAATCGATCGTTGTCAAAATGAGGGTCCCGGGGTGAGGAAGGAAGCGCCTTTGTCTTGATTAGGTCTTCGCCAGCTTTGTGAAGAATGCAGTTCTTAAGCAACGCGATCGATTTCTTCTTGATGAAACCAGGAACAGGTGACGTGGCAAGGCAGCCGATATCGTAAGAGTTCAAAAACAATACCCTCTGGCATCCAAGGTTGAGTGGCACTTGGATCCTGGAAGCTACAAGCAACTCAAAGAGATCTAGAAAGCTATTCATGTCATTTGTTGATGTTGCAGATAGTGGAACATTGTGAGCAGATGAATAATAAGAAAGGATGGAACTGTAAAAGTTTTCCAGCATGTTGTCAAGGGGAGTAAGAAGTTTCTTCAGGTCACCTATAATAACAACACCACCAGCATCAAGCAGGGCTTAAATATGATAAGAGAGGCCTTAACTAAACTATCAGTCAAAATTAGAACTTTTTTCTCATTAAAAACCTATTTCTTCCCTGAAAATTTACAAGACAAGCGATATCCATAACAATGTGAACATATCAGCAACTTTCATGAAGAGTAACTGTGCACTGATCTTCTATTAGCTACTTGCAACGTAATGCCAATTGAAACAGTACCTTCTTTGCAAGTGTTGTCATCATTCAAAATTTCTTTTATTATATTGGTCAAAGTCCAGAGGCATTCCGCTATCCAACTATTACTGGGAAATCCTGATAAAGTCTCTAAACAAAAAGCAAGCCAGGCACTATTTAATGAATTCTGGGGAAAGAGAGAGAACGCACGTTATTGAACAAATGATGACTTCTTGGACATCTAGATAACCTTTAACCCTTCTCCAAAAATCAAAACAAGGGAGAAGCATGAAATAGGCAAACTTTTTTGCATTGGCCGTGATGGATTTCCTCATCATTTTGCACCCTTTAGTAAGTGACTAGCTAGCCAAACCAGTAACACAAAGCAAGGTCTATATATCTTATTACCCAACTCTTATACCTTTATTACTCAACACTTTGTTTTACCAGTCCTAAAAGCAGAAAAGCACATAGAATAGACAGAATAAATAGATAGATCTAAAGATAGATCGGATAAATGTTGGAAGTGTAATCAAACATTAGGTTCATATTATCACATGTGATGGACATGCCCAAGAGCAAGAAAATATTGGATAAAAATACACACATAGCTGGAAAAAATGATAAAACTACATATAGACTTGAAACCAGAGATATTTCTGCTGGGCATTCTACCAGAAAAATATGATTAAAAGACTGCATATTTGATTCTGCATATATTAACAGCAACTAAAATTGTATTTGCGCAACAATGGAAAAGTGATGAGATCCCGTCTGAGGAGAATGTAATTAAAAAATATTTGATTGTGCAGAAATGGATAGATTAACACTTGCTATTAAGGATAAAGAAGAAACTAAATATTTTTTGATAGGGGACACATTTTATCAATGGCTAGATAACAGAAACAGAAGTTAGAAAGGAGGAGATATGAAGGGAGATAATGGTATAGAGGAGAGTCGTTAAAGAAGATGATGTTAAATGTTAAGCATTAAGGTTAGTATATTATAATGTTATTATATTATTAATATAATAGTGATGGCTAAATATAATGAAGATGTATACATATGACTATTTAAACATAATAGTACCCAGAATACGCACTGTTTGATGAAAATTGAGTGTTATATAAATAAACCATGAAAAAAAAAGATACATGCAAAGCAACAGAGTAATAATAAGCATAATACGATATCAATAAGAGGTAGTAGAGAAGATGAGAAGGATGATAATACTAATATTACAGCCATACATCGGTAAATATATCTAGACATAAAACAATACTGTGAGGATTAGGTATATAGGCTCCCTTACTTAATTAATCCACATATAGGCGTCCGTACTTAATTAGGATAAAATCAATTATATACTGAATTAATTCAGATTGAAAATGAGAACTCATAAAGCAGCAAAGTTTATCTAAATAGCAATAATAGCACTTAGACTTATATACTGCTTCACAGTGCTTTACAGCCATCTCTAAGTGGTTTACAGAGTCAGTCAATTGCCCCCAACAATCTGGGTCCTCATTTTACTGACCCTGGAAGGATGAAAGGCTGAGTCAAATGGTATGCTAAATCATCCAGGATGGTTTTACTAGAAACTGACAGCACAAAGTTAGGTTCACATATCTCATTAACCTGTAAGATTGACATTTGGCTTAATATGGTAGCCAGTTTTTGTAATTACAGCTTACCACCTAGTATAGGGGTCTGCAACCTTAAACACTGAAAGAGCCATTTGGACCCGTTTCCCACAGAAAAGAAAACACTGGGAGCCACAAAACCTCGGTTGGAGTGGCCAACTCGACATCACTCACTTTCACCAGTCACGACCCCCCTAGCCACGCCTACCTAGCTGATCATTAGGGCAGAGAACCGGTCGTTAAAAAACAACGGGAACCACAAAACCCTTTTGACATCTCTCCCTCTCTCCCTCCCTCCCCTCTCCCTCTCCCCCCCCCTTCTCTGTATCTCTCTGTCTCTGCCCCGGCTGCTTCTCCATCCCCTGCTGTCACCCTTACCTTCTCAGGCCAGCTGAGGAGTGACTGGGAGGGGAGGGCGAGGGGTGGGATCATCCAACAGAGAGCCACAGCAGAGGGCCCAAAGTGCCGTTTGCGGCTCCGGAGCCGCAAGTTGCAGACACCTGACCTAGTACGTTGTGCAAATCCAGCCAAAGGTGATTTATTTAAAATAGCATTGTTAGCATGATGGGTGAAATCCCTCCCTCTCTCTCTCTCTCTCTATCTGAAAAGCTGGAAACTAGCATTCTCTCCAACCTGTTTTTATATGGAAATATGAGCAGTGCGGGTAGTCCACAATGGAGCCTAATTTTTTTGTTGCTAAGCGAGGCAGTTGTTAAGTGAATTTTGCCCCCTTCAATGACCTTTCTTGCCACAGGTATTAAATGAATCCCTGCAGTAGTTAAGTTAGCCACACGGTGGTGAAGTGAATCTGGATTCCCCACTGACTTTGCTTGTCAGAAAGTCTCAAAAGGGGATCATACGACGCTGGGACACAGCAACCGTCATAACTATGAGTCAGTTGCCAAGCGTCTGAATTTTGATCACGTGACCAAGGGGATGCTTCAACAGTTGTAAGTGTGAAAAAATAGCCATGTCCCTTTTTTCAGTGTCGTTACACCTTTGAATGGTCACTAACTGAATGGTTGTAAATCTAGGACTACCTAAAGCACATGTTTTTCCCTTTATGCCTTTAGCAAGCTTAGAAGAAATTTTAAGTAATGTTTTCTAAGCACTGCAGTCAAAATGCTGGGCTGCCAATGCCTCCTCATGCTGAAGCATCATTGAAGAACATTCAGGAATCTATCTGAGAACACAAATGGTCTTACTTTATCTACCTAGACCTTTGGTTAAATTCCCTACTTTCATATTCTGTCGTGCAGGCTTTAAAGTTTAATGTCAAAGAATTTTTCCACCTACCTATTCTAGCAATCACTTCTATAAAGCTTAACTTTTAAAGCTCACCCTAACCCCCGTAACGTTTTGTTCTCCTCAATCAAATGAACAGATTATTTATTCTTCTAATTTAAAAACTTCCCACATTTTCATACTGCTGTAAATACCTTCATGGCAATTTTCTGACGGTTGAAAGAAAGGGGAAGGGTTCTGTCCTAAGGAAAAGTACAATGGGTGGGAAAGCTATGGATTTGGGTGGGGCGCTACCATTACTTTGAGTTCAGTCAATTCAGGCTAAAAAAAATCTATTTTGGAGAATAGATGACAGAAGCAAACAGTCGCTTCCATACATACACTAGATTTGCAGGAAAATCTGCAGGCATTTTGAACAGCAGAATATCCAGAATGTGATTTCTCTTGTCCTGTGAAGCCCTCTGTCTGATTATTTTAGTACTGCATTATGACACCAGTTAGCAGGAGGAAACTAATGAGGTACACTTGCACATGGAAAAGAATCTGCATAAAAATGCAGAATGTATACAGAGTGTCTGTATACTTAACATGGTCAGTGCCAACTATTTTCTTGGTATAGAAAAGCAGCAAGTCTGAAAAAAAAAAAAAGGCCAGCCTAACAACCTCCTTCCTATTTTTTTTTACATATTTTAATGATATATGTAAGGAACATTCAAGCGTATCTCCACTCCCCATCTTTTAAACCAACGATATGCCACAAATAACTGAAAATTACACGCATGGACTAATAATGCATCCTATGACATAGTGAAAAAAACAAAGTGATTTATGAGGATAGGCTACAGAATTTTGAGATGAGCTACTAATAGCGGCAAAATTACTGATGAAATATACTTGCACTTCTTTTTATTTTTATTCATCAATGTTTTTTAACTGTTATATTCCACAGGTTTCTAGTTTTATACAGCTAATGTTTGTAAATAATCAAACACAAACATGGCATTAAAAGATTGCAAACACAGCACAATTAGGAAAAAGCAACCAGGAATTTAAAATGAACTGAAAGATAACCAAATGACTCAAATCTAAATACACTGGAAAAGCCTCCCCCACCCCAGTGGTTTGAAAACTCAGAGCTTTTCCTGGCTGTTTTTTTTGGGGGGGGGTGGGAAATGTTTTATTCTCCCACAAAAATAAGAAATGTTAAAATTCTCTTGAAATATCGTATCAGGTAGGGAAAAAAAACAGGAAATCATTCATTCATTTTTAAGATAAGCTAGCTAAAAAATTGTTACTCCATTAAAATTCTATTAAAATTCTATTCACATTCTTATATATATGTTTATTTTGACTGTTCACCGCCCTGAGTCCTTCGGGAGAAGGGCGGTATAAAAAATTAAATAAATAAATAAATAAATAAATAATAAATAAAATAAAATAGTGGTTGAATTAGATGCATCATTAAAAACACTTAGCTATACATAATAAAAGTAAAGGTTCCCCTCGCACATAGGTGCTAGTCGTTCCTGACTCTAGGGGGCAGTGCTCATCTCCATTTCAAAGCTGAAGAGCCAGCGCTGTCCAAAGACATCTCTGTGGTCATGTGGCCAGCAGGACTAAACACCAAAGGCGCATGGAACGCTGTGACCTTCCCACCAAAGGTGGTCCCTATTTTTCTACTTGCGTTTTTTACGTGCTTTCGAACTGCTAGGTTGGCAGAAGCTGGGACAAGTAATGGGACCCTGTTACGTGGCACTAGGGATTCGAACCGCTGAACTGCCGACCTTCCGATTGACAATCTCAGCATTTTAGCCACTGAGCCACCACGTCCTTTTTACAACCAGCTATACATAATACATATCCACAAAAAGTATAGTTTAGTGGAAGAGATATTTCCTTTGATATAAATTATGAAGAATGTCTCTTTAAAGAATATGCTTTGTCATTTATGGATTTATAGTATTTACATTTTTTTTAAAAAAAAAGCTGGCCCTCTTTTCTAAGGGCAACATTTGGGAGAAAAGTACATGGCCCAATGAGGAAGGCAGAGACATCTGTCTGGCCAGCCCAATGAGTAAAAGCAACGTAATTAGAAGGGGGTAACAGATGGCACCACCAGGTATAAGCTTACCTCTTCTTTTACTAGGAGAACAAAACAGGTGCACGAGATGTAATTAGTATTTTTGCTGGGTGGGGATTTATAACATTAAAGATTAAATTTTAACTTCTGTACTACGTGCTCAATTACAAAATCCTGAACTGTTACTGTTGCCCACTAAAGTAAAAACAAAACTACAAACAAAGCAGATACATTTGGTTAAATAGTAACTCCAAAGCTCCCTTTCTGACTTACCTCTTCTCTTAGCTGAAAATGCACAAGGGAAGCCAAACTTTTAGAAGCCATGTGAGAGAGCTGTTTATCTGAACTACGTAACAGATGAATCTAGGAGAAATGGAAACAGAAGGAAGTTGTAGCTATGTGACACCTTAACAAAGGAGTTGGAGGAAAATACCACCTTTGGGAAACTTACTAATTCAGAGACAATGTTTGATTCTTGCAGGATTCTCAGGATCTCAACATATTTCTGTTTTATTTCAGTAGCCACCTCTTGCAGATGCAGTTTGGCAAGCATCATATCGATCAAAGTTAACTGAAGCAGAATAATTTCCCGGGCATGGCACTTCAGATGGCTAAAGTTTTTAGAAATATCATGTTCGTTGTTTATTGGGTCTAAACTGGAAGAGATCTGAGCATCCAACTTACGGAAAAAATGACAGGCACATAACTCACAATTTTTTGCTGATGAAAAAGCCAAAGGATTTAGAAGAGCTGCACAATTGTAACTATCTTGGGATAACAAAGCACCAGCAATTATATCATTATACGTTTTTTGAAGGAAGTGAAAGTAAGTCTCCATTATCAGCAATTTTTATATATCCAGGGATTCTTTATATATTCAAATCAGCAGGATTTGAATTGATTTTTTTTTCAGGAACTGATTCTCATATAAGATGTAACTTTGTAAAGATTCCAACTCTACTGTACCTAAAAAAAAAGATGACAAGAAATGTGAGGTCAGTAATGATTCTTAGTGAAAAGTCAAAACAATTCAAGTTACGTTACCAGATAAGAAACATTTCAGTACCAAGTACTATTCAAACATGGCTACTAATTACTTTTTTTATTAGATTTATATTGCATTATTTCCTCAGTCAAGGTAGTTTACATGGAGGCGTCTGTCTTTTTCATTCTCACAGCAGCAACCCTCTTGAAGCAGCCTGAGGGAGGCAATTATTCTCTCATTTGGCCTATTTTTTTGCATTTCTCTCTCTATATATATTTTGAAACCTTATATATTTTTACTACCCCAAATTATTAAAATAATTTTGTTGTCTGAGTCTAGGCCAGAACCTGGCTTTACCTAGTTGCAGTCTAACAACCTAACCATTAACATGGTTAAGTTGAGCCTTGGTGGTGCAGCAGACTAAAGTGCTGATAAGTAGCACTTAGCTGCCAGCTGCCTGCAATTACTGCGAGTTCAAATCTCCCCAGGCTCCAGGTTGACTCAGCCTTCCATCCTTCCGAGGTAGGTAAAATGAGGACCTGGATTGTGGGGGCAATAAGCTGACTTTGTATAAAAAAGAACAACGCTTTGGGGGGGGGGGGGGGCAAAAGCCCTACTAAGCAGGCATATACAAAAGTATGAAGGCTATTGCTTAATGCATTGTAAGCCGCCCTGAGTCTCCGGAGAAGGGTGGCATATAAATCGAACCAATAAATACATAAATTTAATCATAAGTGATGTAGATGCCATATTCTAAACTAGTTGTACTAAAAAATAAATATTGAATTATCTAAAGTACCTTCAGATTTTTTTCTATCACATGTGGTCAATTCTGCTCAAGACCTCTCAAATAACTATCCTAATCCTATCCCTTAAAAATCTATTTGAAAACAATTCCTGTCTCTTCACCTGTTTTTTTTACACTTCTCCATTTTTGAAATCTTAAATACTCATGCTGCATACAGGAATGTAGTCTAGAGGAAACAAATTACTTTATTCAGAGCAGCTCCCAGTATTTAACTTAGACTTGGAAGTTAAGCATCCTAATCCGCTTCTGTATTGTTACTAGGTAAATTTCTAATGCACGAGTACATCAATGTAATTAGCAGGAGTTGCACTTTAGGATTTTTTTTTCTTGGTCCCAACAGATGGCAGTTTGTGCAGTGGTTAAGGCACAAGGCGTGTACATTGGGAGACTGAGTTTTAATCCTGCCTCAGGCACAAAACCTCAAGAAGCTTCTTGGATGAGAAAAGAAACATCTTCAAAGAAAAACCTGTTGTCCTATGGTTGCATCTCTGGGACAACCATGACCTGGATGACTGAGAATCTCCATAGAACATCGAGAACTACCTGTGTAGAGGTAGTCCTCGACTTACGACCACAATTGAGCCCGACATTTCTGTTGTTAAGCGAGATGGTTAAGTGAGTTTTGCCCCATTATACGAACTTTTGGGTCACCGTTGTGAAGTGAATCACAGCAGTCGCTAAGTTAGGAATCTGGTTGTTAAGTGAATCTGGGTTCCTCATGGGCTTTTGCTTGTCAGAAGACTGCCAAAGGGGGGGGGGCGTCATGTGACCCTGGGGATGCTGCAACCATCATGAATATGAGCAAGTTGCCAAGCAACCGAATTTTGATCACATGACCACGGGAATGGTGCAACAGTATGAAAAACGGTCCTAAGTCACTTTTTCCCTCAAAGCTGTCGAAATATTCACTAAGTCTGCATTACTATTAGTCTTCTCATCGTTCCTATCACCCATCTCCTCCCACTTATGACTGTATGACTGTAACTTTTGCTTGTATCTATACAATTTATATTGTTTCCTAGTATGATTCGATTGCTTATTTGTACCCTATGACTATCATTAAGTGTTGTACCTTATGATTCTTGACAAATGTATCTTGTCTTTTTATGTACACTGAGAGCTTATGCATCAAAGACAAATTCCTTGTGTGTCCAATCACACTTGGCCAATAAAGAATTCTATTCTATTCTATTCTATTCTATTCTATTCTATTCTATTCTATTCTATTCTATTCTATTCTATTCTTCTATGCTATTCTATTCCATTCCATTCCATTCCATTCCATTCCATTCCATTCCATTCCATTCCATTCCATTCCATTCCATTCCTAATTCTATTCTTCCATTCTACTCTACCCCACCCTACCCTACGCTAGATTCTTGATGAACGTATCTTTTCTTTTTATGTACACTGAGAGCCTATGCACCAAAGACAAATTCCTTGTGTGTCCAATCACACTTGGCCAATAAAGAATTCTCTTCTCTTCTCCTCTTCCCTTCCCACCCCTCCTTTCCTCTCCTCTCTTCCCTACCCTACCCTTTTTTATTCCTATTCCTATTATTTCTATTTCTATTCCAGTGCCGCTGTAACTTTGGTCACTAAACGAACTGTTGTAAGTCAAGGGCTACCTGTGTATCATAGGTAAATATAAGATGATATATTCTAGGCATAGGTAACACAGATATGAACAGGGGAACCCTACCTTTCCATTCTTCTCGGCTACGTTCCAAGATTGGAGGGGGGGCGAGGGAGGGGAAAGACGGTCGTATTTCCATGAAGGATGATTTGCAAAATAATAATAATAATAATAACAATAACAAAACAATAACAATAACAATAATATCCCCCTCCCAACACTGATCCTTGGAGCAAGGACACCCCCCCCCCCCCCATGCCACCCCCCCCCCCCCCCGCCCCCCCCCAACCACTCCAATCTTCTCGGCCTTCCGACCAGACGGCACCGTTTTCCTGAGGAGATTCAAGCTGCCAACCACCCCTCCCCCACCCCCACTTGACAGCCGTTATCAGCCAAGCTCTCCCTGGCTCGGCTATCGCTACTTCCGGTGGGACCATAGAGGTTTTTTTAAAAAAAAAGCTTTACAACTTCCGGCGGGAAAGCCGTCTTCTCGGGCAAGAGCGGAGGTGTGTTGCCTGCGTGTGGGGAGGGGGGAGGGGGGAAAAGAGGAGGAGGAAGTGGGTCGGCGTCGTTCTGCCCACCCGCCACTCTATGGTCGAGGTTCCTTTCTCTTCCTCCCCACCCCGTCCCTCCCTCCCTCCCCGGAGAGCCCAAAGAGAAGTAAAAGTTGTCGAGACGGGGCCGGAAGTGTCTGTAGTTGTGGGGAGGGGGGCGCGCTCGGAGGACTCGCATCCCTTCGGGGGAGCTGAGGAGAAAGAGAGACGCCAAAAAACAAGAAGAGGAGGAGGAGGAGGAGGAAACGCCAGGAGGGAGGCGGGGAGAAGGCGGGGCCTTTCCACTCCCTCCCTCCCTTTCGCGGCGTCCAATCAGGAGCGGCGGTGGGCGTCGGCCTTGCGTCGAGCGCGCCCGCTGATTGGCCGCGCGCCGGGGTCAGCCCAGGCCCGGTGACCCCGGAGTAAAGGAGCGGAGGTGGCTCCTACTCCCTCAGGCAGTCAGTCCAGTCCAGTCAGTCAGTCAGTCAGGGCAAAGTGGCTCCCTTCCTGGCTGCCTTTCCTTTCCTTTCCTTCCTTCGGCCGACGACCCGCTTTGCTCTTACCGACGCACCGGGCAGCCCCCCTTTTTCTCCCCCCCCCTCAACTTCCCTTTGCTTTCCCGGCAGCCGGGAAGGGAAGCGCCCGGGGGATCCCCGCGGCTGGGCCGGGCCGAGCCCTGAAGCGAAAAGAGAGAGAAAGAAAGAGAGAGAGAGAGAGAGAGACGGAAAGACAGACAGGTAACGGCCGGCGGGGAGGGAGGGGCTTAGTGGGGCCCAGCCCCCCCCCAGAACAGCAGGAGTGGGGGGAGGGGAATGGGGGAGCCACAGCTGTTGGAGGGGCGACTCCCCCCCCCTCCCAGAGGCTGCCGTGGCCTGAGGTGGGGAGGGGGGGTGTCTCTCTCTGAAACTCCCCTTCCCGGGTGGGCCCTGGTTCCCCACCACCTGCACCAGGAAGGGAAAGGAAGGGAAGCTGCTGCTCCTGATCAAGGGAGGGGCATCATCCACCCAACTTGGGGGGGGGGAGAGCACAAAAGGCATCAAAAGCCCACCCCACCCAAAAAAGAATAGGTTGGTGGAACTTAACAGGAGCAAGCATAGAATCCCATGGGGATGGACGGGACCCTTGGAGGTCTTCTAGTCCAGCCCCCCCCTCCCTGCCCCAAGAGGTGGCTCAGCGGCTTAAGATACGGGGTGAGCTTGTCAATCAGAAAGGCTGACACTTTGCCGGTTCGAATCCCTAGGAAAAGGTCTCCTGTGTGAGCGGGGAGGGTTGGACTAGATGACCTTCAAGGTTCCCTTCCGACTCTGTTACTCTTAACTGTAACTTCTTCTCCCCGGGTTTGGGGGGGGGGAGGGATCTGCTAGGGATCACACACACACACACACCGTTTTCTCCGTCCGGTGGGATTGAAAGGTGGCAAAAGAGGCTGAGATGGGGAGTTGGCAATTGTAGGGCTTAACCCCCCTAAGCTGGAGAAATCTGGGCTGAGTTGGGACGAGCTAGCCAGGGTACGTACGGTGGGTTCAGGCTGGGGTTGATGAGGTTGGGAAGGACTAGGCTCATTTTGCAGCTTTCCCCTAGGGTGAAGGATTGAAATGCATGATGGCAGGGGTTGTTCAGCACGTCCTATGGGCCCAGCAATGGAAGTTCTATGGAGATTCTCCATCATCCAGGTCATGGTTGTCCCAAAGGTGCTTTTCAGACTTCCCGGTGGCCCATTGAAAAAGCAGCTTTGTTGACAACTATGACCTGGATGATGGAGAATCATCCATAGACATTGTCCCAAAGCAGCTGGACTTCCTTGGTGGTTTGCTTGAAAAATGTTTCACTTCTCATCCAAGAAGCTTCTTTAAAACTGGGAAGAAAAACTGAAAGGGAAAAAACCCCCCCATCTTTAGGACACAGCAACGAAGTCAATCAACGGATAGATCTGGAGCCTGGTGCATTGTGTGGACCAGAGTTTAGGAGTTTGTTTCAGCCTGCTGTGGGCAATTTAGGGCATTGGGTTAATTGTATGAACCAGGGTAAAGCTAAGGACTGAGTGTTTTGGGAGGAGGGCAGAGCAGATTAGCTCATGTTAAGTTGCGTGTCTGCAAAATGCTAACCCATGGTTATCTGAACAGTGAGTTTTTTTCTGATTCGCTTGTCTGGCATCACCCAACATATTGAACCACGTTCGTGTCTGGCATGCTCAGGCAACCTTCTTGTTTAGCACACCATTCTCCTTCCACCCCCGCTCTCCAAAAACCAGCACTGGTGTTAGTACTGATAACAGCGTGCAGGCAGTTTTCATCTGGGTACATCCTAGTAAAAGACATTTTTAATCTTTGGGCAGAACATTTGTGAATTTGGAACACTTCAGGCTCAGCACACTGGTTTCAAGTTAGAAATGCTGTGTTTTGACTCTTCCAGGTATGTTGAGTTTTAAATATTTCCAGATTGAACTCAAAACAGACGTGTTTGGGGCTTTCAGTGATTCTGGAATGCTTGAGACAGTAGAGTGCATTTCCACTAAGATTGGAAAGCCCGTTTTGAACTGAGAGTAGCCATTTAAAACTCAAAACAGGGCAATTTGTAGTCTAAACGTTATATTTTGATGTAGTGGTTAAGGCACTAGGCTAGAAACCGGGAGATACTGAATTTTAGTCCCATCTTACATACAAAGCCAGCTAGGTGATTTTGGACCAGTCACTTTCTCTCAGCCTTAGGAAGGCGGCAATGGCAAACCACTTCTGAAAAACCTTGTTAAGAAACAGTAGGGACTTGTCAAGACAGTTTCTGAGGGTGAGACCCAATTGAATGGAAGAAAAAAATAAACTTATTTTTCCCTCATGGTTCTGTAAAGTAATAGAATATAAAGAGTAGAAATAAGTTGGATATCATGGAGTCCAAATTCTGCCCAAAACCCTGCTGTAGCATCCCTAACAACCATCCAGTTTCTGTTCAAATACTTCCTGTGACAGTGTGTTCTATTGTTGAAGAGCTCTTATCAGAAATTTATCTGAATGCCCAACTGAAGTCATCTTCTTAATTTAAGTCCATTGTGTTTTGTCATCAGGAACAACTGCAACAGTCCTGCCCAATTTTCTACATAATCCTTCATACATTGAAGGACAGCTATCTTGTATCAGGTCTCCACATTACACATAGCCATTGACTCCAATCATTCAGTTGCTCCATTCTTAAGACTCAGTTTGTCAATGTCATTCCTAAAATTCTATGGCCAGAACTGGATGCAATATTTTAGGTATGGTTTGACCAACCTTTCTTTGCTTAGCACCTTTCTCCTGAATTAATCCTGTTTAGCACCTCCTAAATTAATCCTGTTTATTGGATTAATTTATTAATTTATTTGTGTGGGTTTGCATAATACTTTAAATTATAAACTAATCAAGTAGTCTATATAACATGGTAAACACATACATATTCAAAACCCGTTAAGAGTTAAATTAACTATACCTAACATCTTATGGTAATGCAGCTGCTTGGTTTGGAATTGACTGTAATGTCTCTTGTATGAACTAGCATTTTTGAAGGTTTAGTGGCCCATTAAAAAAATAATATACAAGTATTCTGATGAAGTGTGGCCATTAAAAAGCTGCAGTGTTCTTTGAAATACATTTTCTAAGTTATACCTCAGGATTTTCTCAACAATTATGAAAACAAATGCTTTTCTTTCGACCTCAAAAAGTAAAAAAAGATTTAGTTCACATTCTGTACATGTTTCTTTTACTCAAAAGTATGTTCCATTCAGTTTAACAGGATATATTCACTGGTTGGCAAATTTAAAATGGCAGTTGCAGATTTCTTTTTCTTCTGATAATGTGTGGAGAGGGAAGGTATGAAGGACATCCACTTAATTTCTGTTGCTTGGAGGAATGCAATAGGCAGAGCTGATTCTTTAAAAATATACAGAAGAAGGAATCATGATGGGGAAGAATTAATGAAAACTCATCCTGGAAGGTTGGGAACATAATAGAATAGATTAAAAATGAACCATGCTGGATCAAACTAAAGATCCATTTGATCCAGCACAGTGGCCAGTCAGATAGATCCTTTGTCAAAACCTCTATCAGAATATGAGTTAAGTTGCTTTCTCATACAGTACTTGTGTTCCCTGGCAACAGTGATTCAAAAACACACTAGCTGTGATGCTGAAGGTAATACATAACAATTCATTGAAATCTTTATCCTCCATGTACTTGTCTATTTTTGTAGCAGTCCGGGTTGGCAGGAATCACTTTATCTTGTGATAACAAATTTCATCAGCTGGTAACATGCTGTGTGGAATATCTCCTTTTATCTGACAAGCAACTTTCACTTTTTCAGTTTCGTCAAATAACTTCAGGTTTAATATTAAGAGATTAGTGGTGAGAGTTGGGGGCTAGTGATCCCAAAAGTTGAGAAATTGTTGAAAAGCACAGTTAAATCATGGCGAGTTTTTCACAGTTCACCTCTACCTCATACCTATAAAGGGGAGAATGGCTTGAGGTGGGAGAGAGAAAGATTACATGAAAAGGGAAGAAGGCAGTTTACGATCTGGAACGAGCTCCCCCCGGAGATACGGAGGATCCCGGATCTTCGCACCTTCCGTTGCACGCTTAAAACGTTTTTATTTCATCAAGCTGGCCTGGCCTAAATCATCTCCTCTTTTAAATTTAAATTTTAAATGTAAATTTTTAATCTGTTTAATTATGGGGTATTTTAAAATTCAGCCTAAATTATTTAATTTGTTTTAATTTATTTTAGATTTTGTATTTCCTGTGTTTTATCTTCTGGCTGTTCACCGCCCTGAGTCCTTCGGGAGAAGGGTGGTATAGAAATTTAATAAAATAAATAAATAAAATAAAATAAATGTTGGCATCCCCAAGGCTTGGGTTGTAGGTGGGGAGGATTAGGTCAGACAAGGAATAATGGATGGAAACTGAACAAGGAAAGATTCAACCTGGAAATAAGTAGAAACTTTCTGACAGTGAGAACAATCAACCATTGGAACAGTTTTTCTTCAGAGGTTGTGGGGGCTTCACCACTGGAAGCTTTCAAGAAGAGACTGGACTGCCATCTGTCAGAAACGGTGTAGGGTCTTCTGCTTTGGCGGGGCGGGGGGGGTTGGACTAGATGACCTACAAGGTCCCTTCCAACTCTGTTAATCTGTTAAAAGCTCCCGGGGGGGGGGAGGGGAGGAAAGGGTATCCTCTTATTCTGAAAGGGTAACAACATCGATAACAAAACAAATAGTTGGAATGGCTAAGGAAGAAATATTATATAAAATGGAGAAGGACGGGAAAACCATGTTTTGAATTTTCTCTAAAAATTGCATTGGAGAGTCAATAGAAGTAACTAATTGTTACCAAATCTAAGTTAGATTTAAGGAGGTTTTCCATGATTTATGTAAGGACAATGCTTTATTCACCATAGTGCAGAGAATTGGGAGATGAAGGTTGCTGATCATCTATGTTTAAAGCAGAGGGATGACCTTTTTTAAAAAATATATATATATATGCCGCCCTTCTCCGGAGACTCAGGGCGGCTTACAATGCGACCTTCCTTAAAATGTATGATGAAGGATCCCATTGTTAGACTTTAATACCATTATATAGTATATTTAACTTTGTGCATCACACTGAGCCACAATGTGGTTTGGTTTGGTTTGGTTTAACTTAGCAGAGCCTGTGAACTCAGCGTTTGCTATTTGTAAATCACATTTTACAGGTTGGAATAGAATTCTTTATTGGCCAAGTGTGATTGGACACACAAGGAATTTGTCTTTTGTGCATATGCTCTCAGTGTACATAAAAAAAATACATTCATCAAGAATCATAAGGTACAACACTTAGCGATAGTCATAAGTTACTAAATAAGCAATCAAATCATACTAGGAAAGAAAACAATATAAATCATAAAGATACAAGCAACAAGGTTATAATCATAAGTGGGAGGAGATAAGTAATAGGAAGGATGAGAAGAATAATAGTAATACAGTCTTAGTAAATAGTTTGACAGTGTTGTGGGAATTAGTTGTTTAGGAGGGAGATGGCATTCGGGGGAAAACTGTTCTTGTGTCTAGTTGTTCTGGTGTGCAGTGCCCTATAGCATCATTTTGAGGGTAGGAATTGAAACAGTTTGTGTGCAGGATGCGAGGGATCTGTAAATATTTTCACAGCCCTCTTTTTGACTCGTGCAGTATACAGGTCCTCAGTGGAAGGCAGGTTGGTAGCCATTGTTTTTTCTGCAGTTCTAATTCTCCTCTGAAGTCTGTGTCTGTCTTGTTGGGTTGCAGAACCAAATCAGACAGTTATGGAGGTGCAGATGAGAGACTCAACAATTCCTCTGTAGAATAATGTGTAAGGCAAGAAGATTCCACAAATCATTAAAAATTGTGGTGTATAATTTAGTCATAATATTGAACTATCAGGAGAGGGAAGGACTAGATTCAAATTCCCATTCATTCACAACAGTTTCTGACGTTTTTGGTCAACCCATCATCTTTCACCCTAAATTATATCGCAGGCTTGCTATTTGAACAGAGTAATATTGGGGATCTGAGGCTAATAATATAAACTGCTCTGTGCTCCTTTTCGGATGATAAGGGAAAGTTTAATAAAAATTGAAAGGCTTAAGGAAAGGCTCCTGTATCTATTGTAAATCTGTTCTGCTTGTTTTACAGGCTCATGTTGCTACATAAGAAATTGGGAAACTCTGAATGCAAAATAAAAACCAAGAAGCAAAAATGTAATAGAGGAACCTAGTATCCAGGTAACTGATCTAAAATTCTACTTTTTAAAAACCTTTTACATTAGTCGGTAAAGAATATTACTGGTAGTTTTGTTGGAAGTTAGAAACAAGATGTGTCATTTGTATATTGCAAAGCAGAGAAGACACTCCATACATTGGATTCTACATAGCTTAGTTACCTTAACGAACTGTATTATCTGCTTAGTGAAGGCAACTGTTTTAATTTTGATTATACGTGCGTATAACACATTGCAACGGTCCAGTTTCTAATTCATTTGCCCTCTTTTGAGAACCAATTCATTTGAATTAGATACACTGGCCCACTTTGGGTATCCATGTTTTGGATTAATTAACTAAGAAACACACAAGATTTATACCCCAATTGGTCCAGTCTTCTACTTCTCTTTCCCTGTACATAGTTGGCACCCAGAAAAGGGTTCAACTGTTTTGTATTGCAGATTAAACTATGTTTTCTAGGATCCTAAAGTTGACCATGATAACCAGATCACCTGCAACTTTTATTGAAGGTTTCCCATAGTGTCTTAAAGGAAGAATGTCATGTAGACTCTGCTTACTAAGATGAGATACATACCGTATGTTTAAAGTAAACTTCCACCTTCAAGTCCTTGGAATTAAATGTTCTCTTTTAAGTCTATTTACAGTCACAAATAGTTCAATGTGTACTGGTCCCCGTTGATAGTTTTGCAGGGAAAGAGTCAGATACTGTTTTTGTTCAGTGAGGCTCAGTATGATTTCAGGGGCTGCTTGTGATTACAAGAATTTGAAAATATGTCACTGAGAAACAATTTGCAAGGTAAACAGCAAAGGGTGGAATATATTAGCCTTGGTGGTATTCCTAAGGTGAAGTTCATTTTTAGGTTTTTAGAATGTGATGAGCTTTTAAAAATGGTTAACATTTACAGCCAAGTGATCAAATACATTTAAATATTTATATTGCTTTTGTTATTTGAAGGCTTTATGACCTTTTAGATGAATGTTTTTGCTTGTTCAAATTGCTATCTCTGGGTCAAATGTTTGTATTTTTAAAATGGTTACATTACAACCATTTATGTTGATTTTGAGAGCAAGTTTGGATATTTTGTGATACTTTGGCAATAGCATTCATAATAAAAGAACATTTTACCTTCCAAGTAGTTTGTAGAAGAAGGCAAATCTTGTCCTTCTACAAACAGATTTCATTGTGTGCACGTGCTTCTAAAATGATCAAAAGCTATAAACTAGAATGAAGGTCTTAATTTATATATACGTACAATATGCCTTTTATAATAGAACCTGCATACTACTTTACACTTGGTAAGCTATTCATTACTTGGCTTCAGTACATGTGCTGTACTGAAGTGGGCATTTATACCCATTTTACAGTTGGTGAACAGCAACTGTATTTCTATGGTATACGGCATGGAATGTGGTTCGTTTATTTTTGGCTTAGCACATTATGGAAACCAGACCATTATGATTTGTAAGTGAAAAGGAAACAGGCAGCATTGGTTTGGGTCTGGGAAAGAAATCTTCCACTTCTATTTACTAGCTGTTTTCATTATGTCACTTCATGAATGCAGTAGCATGACTGACTTTTATAGTGCATAGCAACACAAGGCATTGTGTCTTTGTATCTTTATTAATTTCCTATCTTGTTTTCAGCTGCAATTATTGCAGGGAGATTAAATTTGCTTTTGAAAAATGTTTTTTAGCTAAGAGAAATTATGAAGCAATGCTACTTTTTAAAAGAAAGAATTTGGATTCCCCCAAATCTGATTTGTCTTGACCACATATCCCTCACATTCTTATTGTGACATTGGTTTTAGACAACAAAATGTTGCAAAATTGAGTGTCCTGCTGTTGTCATATTCACACGGGTCAATTTTTTCTTTGCAACATTTGGTAATCACCAATTGAATTCAATAACCCACATTTTATTCAATGAGATAAACCGGGAACAATAAATCCTGCAAAAATATTGGAAGTGCTAAAATGCAGTAAGCAGACACTTTGCTAATACATAGCTTGTTTTTTAGCCTTCTAAGATTATTAACCAAAACCATAGCAAGCTGCAGCAATTAAGCAAAATAGCTAAATTCAGAGGCATTTTAAAACCATTATAAAATGTGTTTGGTTTCTTTTGTTGTGCCAACTCAAGTATTATGATTAATAAACTATGGTTTGTGGCACGTTGTGATTTGGGAATTGGCCATTAGTGACTCATTCACTGAAACATTATAAAATGAATCATAGCTTAGTGTACCGTGTGAATCTCTCATTCCGTTAGAGGGACAATTTCCTGTGAGATACAGCTTCCTTAAATCTTGGTATGATACAGAAAGATCTGAATACTCATAAAAAGAAAATGCACCCCATAGATGGCCATTTTCTTTGCTGAAAATGGGAAGCAAAGCAATGGCCATTCACCTCTGTAACAAAACATCGATAGCATTAGGAGAAATGAATGGAAATCCTTGGTGCTTCTTGAGAGAAATAAGCATTCAGAGAAAGAAACTAATAGGCTGAGAATGGTGTAAAACGATAAAATGTTTCAATTGAACTCTGAAAGAGGACAACTCGGTATAGAGTTTCCAAGTCTTCTGAAGTCAGCCCATTTATGGAACAGCAGAACATTCTGTGAAGTTCTCTGGACCTCTTCTGGAACATTGTTAAGAATGGATTGTTGGGAATGGATTGAAAAAATATGTCATTCTGAAAAATATTACGTATTAATATGATATTTTACTATATTATTATATATGAAGTAAATTGTAATTGTAAAATTTCACTATATTGATTGAAGCAGTATCACAGAAGGAGTAAACCTTCAAGTGAGGAATAATAAGAAAGAAGATAATGTTCTTGGCAGCCCTGCTGGATGCTACATGCTCTGGTATGTAGCTGTCCTACATTCATTATAATCTTGTCCTTTGGATATATAAGGTTATTTAAATCTAGGAATGACATTGCCATTGCATAATCTTTTCCAATTAAATAACAATTCAAAATGTATAAAATAAATGGAGTATCTTTCCTGTCCCAAAAAAAGTCTGAATGAACTTTGGATATATTTCCATGGTATATTATGAGAGGCTCCTTGTTCACTGTCAGCTTTTTCTGCCTTGCCTTGTCACTCGTTTAGAAGTATCTCTATAAAAAAGCACCCACAATTCTACTTTTTCTTGCAATCCAGGCAGTATCAGAGATTAGATGAATGTTTCTTGCTTCTTGCTTGCTTTGATCTAACAGACATCTTCTTTGTTTCAAGCAGAAACCATTTGCTTGCCGTATTATGCCTGCAGACAAAGTAATGTATAATGAAGACGGAAAACACAACGTACAAAAACTGACTTTTGCCTATAAGGTATTTTTTAAATAGAGGACCTTAATCATTCTTTGTGGAAAATGTTACCTGCATCTTACTAAGGATTTGTCGGTGTGGTCATCCGGGAACAGTTTTTCCAGTGCTCCCTCCAAAGATAATTTTATGACTTAAATGTCCAGTATTTGAGAGAAACATTATGAAGTTGAGCCACGATGGTGGTTAGAGTGCAGTACTGCAGGCTACTTCTGCCGACTGCTGGCTGCCTGCAATTTGGCAGTTCAAATCTCACCAGGCTCAAAGTGGACTCAGCCTTCCATCTTTCCGAGGTGGGTAAAATGAGGAGCCAGATTGTTGGGGGCAATATGCTGACTGTAAACTGCTTAGAGAGGGCTATAAAGGACTGTGAAGCGTATATAAGTCTAAGTGCTATTGCTATTTGCTTCTTTCCCAGAATAGTTTTTATGGAAAAGTAAAATGATTTAAGAGAAAGGACACAGACATGCTGTAATTGTCACTATTTTAAAAATGGGCATCAATAATACATATTTTAAAAACATTTTAAAAAACCCAGATACAGTTTGCATATATAAATACAGTGACACTTTGGTATAATGTTTAAGGCATCTGACTAAAACATGGAAGATCAGAAGTTCTGGTTCCCCCTGTTAGCCACCCATTTGGGTGACTTTGAGCCTATCCCCCTCTCAGCCATAGGAAGAAACTGCTTCCAAAATTCTTCCAAGAAAACGTCAGGGACTAATCCAGATAGTCGCTAGGAATTCACGCCGACTTGAAGGTATATGTTCTTCATCAGCGTAATCCTTGCAAAATGCATTTTTTCTATTTCTTGCTCCATTTAAATGGAAGACTTGTGTTTGCAAGACGCAAGAGGAACTGTTATTCATACGTTCTCATAATTCTCATAGGCTTTAATTGAAGATGGTCAGTTATTGGTCAGGCAGTCATATTTCAATTACAGGTAGTACTCCCTCGACTTATGGCCACAATTGAGCCCAAAACTTCTGTTGCTAAGTGAGACATTTGTTAAGTGAGTTGTGCCTCATCTTACAACCTTTCTTGCCACAGTTGTTAAGTGACTCACTGCAGTTGTTAAGTTGGTAACCCGGTTGTTAAATGAATCTGGCTTCCCCTTGACTTTGCTTGTCGGATGGCTGCAAAAGAGGATCACAATACTCCACGACACCGCAACTGTCATAAATATGAGGCAGCTGCCAGTTGTCTGAAACACCTCCTTTTCCTTATCCACCCTGGTGGTGGATTGTTCCTGTTGACCAGATCTTTTATTTTGCCGCGTCCCTGCAAATCTGTTTTTAGCCTGTTAAAGATAAAGGTAAAGGTTCCCCTCGCACATATGTGCTAGTCATTCCCGACTCTAGGGGGCGGTGCTCATCTCCATTTCAAAGCCAAAGAGCCAGCGCTGTCTGATGACTATTCCATGGTCATGTGACCGGCATGACTAAACACCAAAGGAGCACGGAACGCTGTTCCCTTCCCACCAAAGGTGGTCCCTATTTTTCTACTTGCATTTTTACATGCTTTCGAACTGCTAGGTTGGCAGAAGCTGGGACAAGTAACGGGAGCTCACCCCATTACGCAGCACTAGGGATTCGAACCACTGAGCTGCCGACCTTCTGATCGACAAGCTCAGCATCTTAGCCACTGTGCCACCATGTCCCGATCTTTAGCCTGTTACCCTGTGCCAAACATGAATTGAGCCTTGAAATGTTTCTCATATATATTTAGAGACAACTTTAGAGACAATAAAGCTTTATACTCATGCAGTGTGGCCTTGCTGCCATTACCCTCTCTTATGTTACTTGTCTCAAACTAGAATAAAAGATAAGAACAGTCTTGGCTCTTTATAATACATATTTGTGGCTACTTACTTAAGCTGACACAATCACTTACATAAATTACGTTGTTGGTATTCTGATGGTCTCTTCGTCTCCACAATTGGATTTTCCTGTTGCTATGGGCTATGGAAAACGTTGGGCTAGAGATCACTGTGTACAGCTCTTCAGTTCATTGGAATGTATGTAGCCAATGCAGTAATTCAGCGTTTCTCAACCGTGGCCACTTTTAAGACCTGTAGATTTAAGAGAACAGCTGGCTGGGAAATTCTGGAGTTGAAGTCCACAGGTCTTCAGGTGACCAAGGTTAAGAAGCATTGCTGTAGTTGATAGTTAAGATGATTGCCCCCCCTCCCCCCCCTTCTCTCCCGTACACAATGAATCGTGTTTCATTCTTTATCAATTTCATTAGATCAATGTATTTTTTTTTATTTAAGGTGACCGCCGAGACTTCATGACCCTTCTTTAAAAGGAAGCAGATTCTGCGAGGATGTTACATCACCATTGCCGGAGGAACCCTGAGCTACAAGAAGAGTTGCAGATTCAGGCAGCAGTGGCCGCTGGGGATGTCCATACGGTGCGCAAAATGTTAGAGCAGGGCTACTCTCCCAACGGCCGAGATGCTAATGGCTGGACCTTGCTCCATTTTTCAGCAGCCAGAGGGAAGGAACGATGCGTTCGTGTATTTCTTGAACATGGAGGTTAGTTGACCTAAGCAGAGGGATGTATGGTTGCTTGGTGATGAAATGTTTCAGACCTTCTCTTTCAATACCTTGGCTTCCTTTTTTAAAAAAAAAAAAATAGAATTTTCTTTTTTTCCCCTTCTTCTTCTTCTTCTTCTTTTTTTTTTTTGCTGTTTGGACACCAACGTGATCTAGATCAGATTTAATTTCTGCATTTTTAGATCTCTAATAGGGTGTGGAAAGGAGAAAAAGAAAAACAGCAGACAAGCTATGTGACTTCAGAGTCGACCACAAGATGGCACTCGTTTGTTGTGTTGTTTTGAGTATTGTACAAAAGAAAAAACTAAGTCATTCCACAACATAATTCTGCATTTGATTATTCTAGTAGATGGCTAACATCTTACTCTATATTGTAAATTAAATTGTGATTAAATTTATAACCTAAACGTAAATGTTCTGACATATAAATTCATTCTTGGGTTTAGGATAACTAACCACTTCTAGAAAATACACATACAAATGCATTTGTAATAGCAGAACAAAAGGGAAGTTTGTAGAACAATTTAGCTTCATAATTCAGTTCTGCTAAATTAATGGCCATATGGAATTGTCACTTCTGGCAGTAGCATTCAGCTTTAGATTTCCCAATGATTTCCCAATATCTATTAGAGTCTATTTCTCATTGCTTTAAGCTGCACTTGTAAAAAAATGAAATGAAAATGTTCCGTAGGTATAAGAATTAGAGTTTCTGTTCTTTAATATGGGCATCTTTTCCTTAAATTTTATAAATAATGTCCCATTTATGGATGAAGTTGGTGCTGTTGAATATGCAACAGGGGATAAAAGAAGAGGTCTGGTTAGGGAAATACAGAATAACAGAGTTTGAAGGTTGGTTGTCTTCTAGTCTAGTCCCTGCCCAAGCAGGATACCCGATACAATTCTGAACAAATATTGTATAATATTTCCACAGAGAATCGGGGCTCTACATGTATAGAAATTGCTTATTGATAAAGGCAGGTATTTCACAGAACTTCGTGCTACACGTATGTAAAATTAAATCATTCTTTAAGATTTATGTGGCAACGTTCAGCCAATTTTGGCTGATCTTGAAAAGTTAATGTAATTGGACCTGGTTTTTATTTGGAAGGATAACTCTGAGAAATGCTGGTTATAAACACTGGAAATTTTTAAAAAAGAAGGCAGTTGCAAATTATTTCCATGATATCGCCAGAAAACATATAGTCCATCGATGTCACCTAAACTTTAATTTAACTCAAAAGATACTTGATCTTTGGGTAGAGTGTCATTTTTAACAATCAAGTGGAATATGACCAGAAGATGGCAGAAGATATTTCCAAAATAGATAAGAAGCTATTGTACAGTTCTCCTCCTCTCCCAAATCATCCTTTTTCATATCTGATACTTTTAGTAAATAGCTGAATTTATGTACCTGTGGAAATGATTTCAGATCCTCTCTGATATCTGTGATATCCTGTCCTTTTTGATTCAGAATTTGCCACAATAGTACTGTAGAGTTGGCCGGACTTAACTGATGCATTGTCTCAAATTGAGACAATTCAGATTCAGGAATATTTGTCACATTTCTGAGCTTTTCAGAATTCTATGCAAATTCTAGACGGACCTCACATGGATCCTTAGTTGACACAGGACAATGTCGAGCTCCTTTGGTACAGGTAGTCCTCAACCTACAACAGTTCACTTAGTGGCCATTAAAAGTTAGAGTAAGTAAGTAAGCCAAGTAAGTAAATAAGTCAACGAAATTGAAGTAAGTCAACAGCACTGAAAAAAGTGACTTATGACCATTTTTCACACTTACGGCCATTGCGGCATCTCCATGGTCACGCGATTTACATTCGGATGCTTGGCAACTGATTCATATTTTTGATGGTCGCAGTGTCCTGGGGGGTCATGTGATCCCCTTTTGTGACCATCTGGTGAGCAAAGTCAGTGGGGAAACCAGATTCACTTAACGAATCTTCGCTCATTTAACAGCTGCAGTGATTCACTTGACAAATTTGGCAAGGAAAGTCGTAAAACGGGACAAGCTCACTTAGCAAAGGTTTCATTTAGCAACATAAATTATGGGCTCAATTGTGGTCATAACTCGAGGACTACCTGTGCCTGGTTCTATTGTAGATGCACTTTCCAGAGCTAAGGCCAGTGGTATTAACTCAAGGGATCTTCTTAATGAATATTCCTGATGAAAACAGTTGACTGTTTCAGGCATCCTATTTGTGTTTAGGCCTGGGTCCCAAGTGTGCCAAAAGACCTATTTCCTAACTATCAATGATTGTTGTGGTTTTCTCAGCTTTCTGTGTATTTTAGTATGTGTGTGTCTTTTTGTGTAAAAATACTGTTTACCACATGTAGAGTCATTTATTGAGATGGGTTGGTGTTTGTTAGTTTGTGGAGGACAGTTTTGTCTGATTTAATTTACCAATTTAACATACTGAAAAACCTTAAGTCCCGTATTCATTTCCTGAACTTACCGTATTTTTCGGAGTATAAGACGCACCCTTTCCCCCCCCCTAAAAGGGAGTGAAAATTTAGGTGGGTCTTAAACACTGAATGTATCCCTACCCACCCACTGGCCCCCACCCTTTGGCCTCGCAGCAGTTACCTCCTTGCAAGCAAACAGCAAGAAAAGACAGCTCCTTTCAGCTTCAGCACAGCTTAATTAGCACAAGTTGATTGGATCGGCCTCCCGACTCCCAGCTGAGTTGCTCTCAGCTGTTTTGCGCAGGGCTCTGCTGCTTGCTGCAAAGAAGTAAATTGCTGGAGCAGATTTTTTTTCCCCCTTGTGCTAATCAAGCTATGCTGAAAATGAAAATGTAAGTAAAGCAGGCTGTTTGCTGTTTACTACAACGAGGCAAAATTGCGCAGAGGCAGAGGGAAATTTCTTTTTCTTCTTTTCCTCACCAAAAAAGTGCGTCTTATACTCCGGTGCATCTTATACTTCGAAAAATACGGTATATGCTCTTATCCAAAGTGTGAACTTTATGTTATGAAAGAGCTACAGAAAACTGATTATATTTTTAATGTATTGATCATGCTTGCAAACCTTCACAGATTTTCACTCAGCTTGAATGCAAGCAATCAGGGAGATATTATGCAGGTAGCGCAATTAATTCAAAAATTAGTCCATAATCCTGAAGCAGCTTTGTATACCATATATTAATGAGGATGTCCTGAAGTTCTTAATAGCCCTATTAAGTGACTGGATAAGAAATCAAAGGAAGTCCATCTTTATTATGGTCACAGATTACTTGTTTAAAAAAATAAAACATAAATATTACATTAGAAGCATACCATAGATGGCAGAAAAAGTGTGAGACTAATATTTTTAAGAAAAGTAGTGGACATAAACCTGCAACAAATTGCAGAAAGAAACAGTTCATTTTATATGGGCCCAAGTACATCTATCGAATCTTTTCATTTGCTTTTGTCTCTCGTGAAATGAGGTTGCTTCACTTTTCCATCTGATTTTTACACAAATTATTTTTACCTTGAATTTGCTCTCACTAAGTGTAATGCAGTGGCTCAGTGGCTAAGACACTGAGCTTGTTGATCAAAAGGTCAGTAGTTCAGAGGTTCGAATCCCTAGTGCCACGTAACAGAGTGAGCTCCCGTTACTTGTCCCAGCTTCTGCCAAGTTCGAAAGCAGGTAAAAAATGTTCGAAAGCAGGTAAAAAATGCAAGTAGAAAAATAGGGACCACCTTTGGTGGGAAGGTAACAGCGTTCTGTGCGCCTTTGGCATGCTGGTCACATGACCACGGAGACGTCTTCGGACAGCACTGGCTCTTCGACTTTGAAACGGAGATGAGCACCGCCCCCTAGAGTCCGGAACGAGTAGCACATATGTGCGAGGGGAACCTTTACCTTTAAGTGTAATTAGTATAATTTAATTTTCCAGATTCAGTTATTCTTTAGCTCTTGCGAGGATTTCTAAACTCTGGAATCCTTGGAGCTTTCTGAACTTGGTTGTTAGTTTGCAATAGTGGCGAATATCTGTAGCTCGGGTGTAGGATGAGAGTGAAGGTTCGTTCTCTGAGCTTGTGGGTTGATTTCCAAACATTTTGTTACCAGGCTAGGTAACATCTTCAGCGGAGTTTAGGGGATGTCAGTGTCTTTGTTGTTCTGTTTATAAGGGCTTCAGGTGTGTGTGTGTCAAGTGAGGGTCTTGTGATGGATCTCGTGAGGGACCAGGTGTGAGTCATCAGTGAGAGTTTTGTGATGGGTTTTGTGATAGGGAGGTTACATCCGGTCAGGATCATTGGGAGGTGAACTGCTGGTGGTGGGAGGCGGGTTGCGAGTTTGTTCGGTGGTTAGTTTGCAGATGATGTGTTATTACCCAAGTAGGTAACTTGTAACATGATGAGAGCACTAAGGACTCTACAGTTCAACCCTGAGCTACATATATTCTCTTCTGTAAATGTCTATGACAGTGATGGATAACTTTTTCCGGACCAACTGCCTAAAGTGCATATGCGTGTGTGCGAATGTGTGTGTGCGTGCCCGAACCCCCAAGATGCAATGCGCGTGTGGCCCCTGTGCATGTGCCCCACCCTCATGCATGCGTTTGTGCCCCCTGCATGCCCCTTGCCTCCCTGCACATGTGCGCACAGCCCCCTGTATGTGCCCCCCTGCGGATGCGTACGCCCCCCACATGCACCCCACCTTTCCACGCATGCGCACACGGCCCTCCCGCACGCGTCCCACGCCCCACGCATGCATGGCAGATACCTGAAGACCAGCTGGTCAGCAGGAGGCGTGCATGTATGCGCAGCGGAGCTGAACTGGGGCGACGGCTCGCGTGCCATCAGAGAGGGTGCTGTTGGCACATGTGCCATAGGTTCACAATCACAGGTCTATGGGGTTTCTCAGTCATCTAGGTCATGGTTGTCCCAAAGATGCTTTTTCAAGAGGCAACTGGACTTTGTGATTTTCCTTTGAAGACATTTCACTTCTCATCCAAGAAGCTTCTTGGATGAGAAGCGAATGTCTTCAAAGGAAAACCAGAAAGTCCATTTGTCTCTTGAAAAAACACCTTTGGGATTCTCTTCTGTAGGATTTTTGTTCTTCTTGTCTATAAATCTGGTTCAGGGACCACCTCACCTAGATCCCACCTAACCAGTCAAACTTTCCTCTTAGTCTTCTTTTACTCTCTACTCTCTTTGAATTAAACTTAAAACAAATAGATTTCAGATTTTACAACTAAGAGATATTAAATTTAACTACAGAGGTTCTTTATATCTATGAAAAATGCCAAGAAAAGCAGTGAAGATACTGACATTCACTGGTGTCACAGAGAGATGTTGAATACAAGTTAATACTAGTTTATTTAAACAGAGAAAGCTTTTAAACAATTCACAGTTGGTCTGTACAAAAATTGTTAATGCAAGTTATTTTCTTTAGCTATAAAATAAGGGTTGTAATTTTAATATTTCATTGTCTTGTCACCATCTGGAAAGTAACTTTAACCACTTGCTGAAATAGAGAATATTTCTAATAAATGTTCCTTCAAACAGGAGTTTGCTTATTTACATTTAATAATATCCTGTCTTTCCACCTTAAAACAGTATTCATGGTTGAGATTTCTGTAATATTGCATGATTATGTTCAAATACTGCCAAGGTTTTATATCACTTTTTATATTCAAATAACATGAGCAGAAGTGGGAAGAATTGAGTGCCAGGCACCATGTAATTTGCCCATGAACAAAAAATAGTGTTAGTCATTGCATGTGACAGGATGATATTAGATCTATACATCTGGTAATTTTTAAAATATTTCATGAATCCAGATTTCTGTGGGAGAAGGAATACTTAGCTATTCCTTTTGAAATGTTGACATTTTGCCCTATCCTGCTTCCCCTTCTTCAAAATTAGATGTTTACATTCTTGCAAAGCTCAACATTTTGTGAAACGGCAAAATTAGGTTATTTTCATTTTATAGAAGACAGTTTTTATCGGGTTGATCTGAACTAGCATAGAGCTTACATGCTTTGCAACTGCATAGATCACAAAGGCCTTTCTTTACCCTATACGATATTAACCCCCTAAAATGAACTCATCTTGCCAGACCACAATACATCTGCATCTTGAGCCTGCAGATGTTGCTACAGATGCTTCTCTTTAAGACCAAGAAGCACAAGGGAAAACAAAACACGGAACCAAGGATGAAATGTTAGAGCTGAAGGAATTAGGATAGGTAGGTAGAGAGATTTTGAGAAATTGAGAAATACCTGGTGGTTGTTGGGTCGGGAGACTTGACTGCAGATAGTCCTCGACTTACAACTGTTCTGCCCCAGCTCAGTTCATTTAGTGACCGTTCAAAGTTACAACAGCACTGCAAAAAGTCACTTACGACCGTTCTTTAAACTTACGACCATTGCAGCAGCATCATAGCCACCTGATCAAAATTCAGATGCTTGGCAACTGACTCATATTTATGACGGTTGCAGGGTCCTGGAGTTTTGCGACCTTTGGCCAAGCGAAGTCAATGGGGAAGCCAGATTCTCTTAACCACTATGTCACTACCTTAACAACTGCAGCGATTCACTTAACAGGTGGGGCAAGAAAGGTTGTAAAAGGGAGCAAAATTCATTTAACAACAGAAATTTTGGGCTCAATTGTAGTCATTAGTTGAGGACTGCCTGTATTGGAGACAATAGGTATAGTAAATATTCATTTTTCTTCGGGTTTTTTAAATTATTATTACCAAAACTGAATTACAGGGGAATTATTCAATTACAGGGGAATTATTCAATTCATTTATCACAAACCAGATCCAAATTTTATTGAATTCTCTTTTGCTTTGGGATTCTCCCCAATAAATGGGTCTTCTGTACTTCCTTTTATATGGAACTTTGCATGAAAATATTTTAAATTCAGCCCATAATTTAGAAGCATGCCCTGTTTTTCAAATTTTACATTTTTCAGTATTGAAATGTGAATGTTTAAAATGTTAAATCCTTGGTGCCTATAAAGCAATTTCCAATATGCACAATGTTGCTTAATCACTGATGCTGCTTAATGTTGCTTAATCACAGACCCAACCACTGTACACACTGATGCTTCAGTAGTATTACAAAACCTTTTGTATCAGTTGGAAAGAAGTGTATATAAAAAAAAATGGATGGCAATAATTTTACAGGTCTTTTGTAATACCTAATGAAGAATTGGTTTTTTTGTTAAATAGGTATCATCATCCTCTTTTAACGACCTCATAATCCCTTGCAGGATGGAGTCTGGGCAAACTGAATGGAGCTGAGTGTTTACTGGCCGGATGCCCTTCCTATCGCCAATGCAGAGTTACATTCAGCAGATATATGCTCACTGTACCCAGAGAGAAAAATATCTGCCTCTACCTAGGATTGAACTCACTGCCTCCTAATTGTGAGGCAACAGCTCCACCTCTAGGCCACCACACCACTTTTGTTTAATAGGTATATATGGTATCATATCATAAAAGTGCTAACGTTTGTGAGATTTCATGTCTACTGGGAAAGCTGAATTTATAGATTAACCTCGTGAGGGGAAAAAAGTTCTATTTTAAATTGCTGTTTTGTATCCTTTTTGTGCTAAATAACTTCCTGCACTTTTTTAAAAACTTCAGCGGATCCTACAGTGAAAGACCTGATTGGCGGCTTCACCGCTCTACATTATGCAGCTATGCATGGCCGAGCCCGGATTGCACGCCTGATGCTGGAATCCGACTACCGCGTCGATATTATTAACGCGAAGAGCAACGACGGTTGGACTCCCTTGCATGTGGCAGCTCATTACGGAAGAGACTCCTTTGTCCGACTCTTGCTGGAGTTCAAGGCTGAAGTCGATCCGCTGAGTGACAAAGGTACTACGCCACTTCAGCTTGCCATTATCCGCGAACGGTCCAGCTGTGTCAAAATCCTCCTAGATCACAACGCCAACATTGACATTCAAAATGGCTTTCTGTTACGCTACGCCGTGATCAAAAGCAATCACACTTATTGCCGGATGTTCCTTCAGAGAGGGGCGGATACGAACTTGGGGCGCTTAGAAGATGGACAGACGCCATTGCACTTGTCTGCTCTTAGGGATGACGTACTTTGCGCGCAGATGTTGTACAATTATGGCGCGGATACCAACACAAGGAACTATGAAGGACAGACTCCGTTGGCGGTTTCAATAAGTATATCTGGAAGTAGCCGGCCTTGTTTGGATTTCTTACAGGAAGTAACAAGTATGTATAGCAGAAATCTTTTATCAAAATTTGCAGTTAGATTGGGAGGGGGGGTGGCAGTTTTAAGTAGTCTTCGACTTACAACACAATTGAGACCAAAATTTCTGTTGCTAAGGGAGACATTTGATGAGTGAATTTTAATTACATTTGATAATGGTCAACAGTCTGACTAGCGAACCCAACAAAAGGGACCCTCGGGGTCTTTGAATCCCAAAAAGTAAAACTTTATTGAATACACCATCTCGGAACTGAAGAAGCAAAACCAGCTCTGGTTTTCCCACACAAAAGCTTGCTTAGTTAAACAATAGATTCCCTTTCTCCCACTCCTCGGATATTTGTTGCAAAACTTCTTTTTGTTATGGGAACAGTCCCATTTCTCCATTGAGCAGCTTCAGTAGTGACCTTGGCATTTTGTAGGCTTTCACAGTCCGTGAACTACGTCTTGGCATCCCGTTTCCTCCCCACACATTCCATCCCTCCCCCCTTTTCATTGGCAAGTTGAAAAGCAATAAAAGCTAGAAGGCAATAAAACGATTCAATCTTGACAATAATGCAATGAGCCAGCAACCAGATAAATGGATCTCCCTTAATGTTTAAACTAATCCTGTTTTCAACCCCTCTTTGGGTCCCTTAACATATACATTAAAAATATTTCAAACTTATAAGAGGAAGCAATCAATAATCATTACTATTGTGCCACCAATAATAGGTGAGGCGCGGTGCCTCAGTGGTTTAAAAGACACCGGAGAAGGTCTGTGCTCCGGCAGGTCGAATCCCCTGCACGATGGAGTGAGCTCCCGTCACTTGACTCAGCTCCAGCCAATTTAGCAGTTTGAAAGCACGTAAGTGCAAGTAGATAAATAGGTACCACTTTGGTGGGAAGGTAACAGCGTTCTGTGTTTCGTCATATGCTTTATGCTGCAGTGTGATGTCATGCTGGCCACATGACCATGGAAACATCTCCGGACAGTGCCGGCTCAAAGAAACAGAGATGAGCATGGCCCCCTAAAGTCAGCTATGTCTAGCTGAGTAAAACTCACAGGGACTCCTTTATCTTTACTTTTACCAATAATAAGACTTTTATTGCCAGAGTAAGTTTCACCAAATGAATTTTCTTTCCAGCAGGCTCAGACTCCTCTTTATTCATGGTTTCTGCTTTTTAATATTTTGAAATGATTGATCCCATTGGAAGGATAATAAAATGAAACGTAGGAGAAATCGTGGGGCCTGTAACCAGACCATACCCTTCCAGTCAGCCTGTGATCGGATACATTGTGCAATGATGCCATCCTCCCGTCTTGCTGAAGAAAATGTCAAGCATAACAAAACACAGTTTGTCCCCTATTTCCAGACTTGGTTGAATATGGCCAAATTAGATTACTTCAGAAAAAAGATTATAAATAGGTTTTGTTTAATGTTTTGTTCAGTAGGAGAACATTGTATCCAAGTAATCAGTATTCACATGATCATTTAGGTCCATGATGGCGGTGGCATGCATAGCTATATCAGTGGGCACGCCAGCTCAGCTCTGGCGTACATGCGCATGCCAGCCAGCTGATTTTCAGGCCTTCTGGGAAGGGAAATAGGGAAACAGGCTGTTTCCTGCCTCCGGAGGGCCTGGGGGGGGGGGGGAGGCCCGTTTTTCTTTTTCACATGGCTCCAGATCCTCTCTGCATCTGGGGAGGGCAAAAACAGCCTTCCTCACCCCCTTGGAGGCCCTCCAGAGGCCTGAAACGGCCCATTTCCCAACTCCCGGTTGGACAGGAAATGACGTTTTTTGCTGCCCCCAGCCTCTAGAGCCTCTCTAGGAGTCTAGAAGGCTGTTTTTGCCCTCCCCAGATGCAGAGAGGATCTGGAGCCAGGTAAGAAAGAAAAATGGGCCTACCGGGCCATTGCGTGCCAGGAGCAGGGGGGAGGGGGGGTTGGACGCGCAGGGTGGGGCGCATAGAATTATGGGTGTGGGCAGGCATGCATGCAAACCTCCCCCCACACACACACACCCTCCTGGCCCACGATGGCAAAAAGGTTAGCCATCACTGATTTAGGTGAATTGATTTCAGAGACAAAAACCTTGCTAGCACAAATCTAAAACCAGGCATTGTTTTTAGCAGCCCAGGTTTCTCCTGGATAGTCTTCATTTTCTCATTTCTTCCCTAACCTTGATTTTTACAATGTATCACAGTTTGCTGATAGACATACATTTATAAACCTCCCTGTTTCATGTAAGAAAGGAACAATGTAGCCCACCTCTTATACGTTTGGGTTAACATGACACATTACTCACTCCCTGTGTTTAGTAGTTTAAAATTATTTAATGAGCTTCTCATAGAGCTTTTTGCTAAAGTTTTCTGCTGTTAAAAATATAGGAGAAAAATGAAATGTGTAAAAAAATTATATTTGTAGGATATCTGGTCAGCACCACATGTACCTACTCGTGTTTCCCCGAAAATAAGACCCTGTCTTATATTTTTTTGAACCCCGAAGTAAGCACTTGGCCTTATTTTCAGAGAGGTCTTATTATTCTGGGGTGCGTGGAGCAAGATGGGACTCCACTTGCCATCTTACCTGATTTCCAGCTCTGCGTTTAAATATTTTCGGGGAGGGCTTATTTTCAGGGGGAGGCTTATTTTCGGGGAAACAGGGTATCAATACTACATAAAGTTCCAAATCATTTTGCATATTTTTTAAATACGAGAAAACAGATTGTGTGTATATGCATGCAAGATTGCCCTTGAAAGTGCAACGTCGCTCTAGGGAATGCATTTTTGAATGTAGCATTTGAGCTAAGAAATGTTTTGGGAGGAAAAGCAGCGTGTTTCCGTTTGTGCTGATTGAAAGTTCTAGGAATTTTATTCAGCAAATCTGGAAAATGCCAGATTGGAAAAGTTCTCCTTGTGGTTTATTGAAACCACGCATTCACTTTTAATTTAGAAACTTGAAGCATTTTTCTCCTTTGTTTTCAACTAAGCAGTGCATTTTTCTGGCTATTTTAATCTTTGGGATTTGGAAGGAAATAATTTTGGGACTACATGCAGTATTCTCACGCACACACACACACACAAAAATGCACGTGATTGGTAACACATTTTTAGGCCGTATGCTTTCTGTTCTGTGGCTAAATTCTCTCAAATCTTTTTTTCTGCAGATTTTCTTCCTATTTCTCCAGAATTTACTGATTTCATATTCAGCACCATTCTGTATTTTATATCAGGTTTGGTTTTTGGTTTTGTTTTTTTTTTGCTGCACATATAAACCTATTTTTAAAAAGTGGTTGATTTCTGGTGTCTAAATCTACATATATTCAGATTCCTTAATTTAATGAAACAAGCACCTCCGGATTATAAATTGAACTTTATATTGTTGGAGGCAATGACTGATATTAAGGTGAATATGATGAATATAGCCAGTGTTAGGTGTGAATCTGTATTCATGCAAGAAGGTTTTAATTTCGCTCTTCTCTCCCTCCATCTTCTGATGTATATGCCCTAGCTTTGCTATTTCCATCTTCTGGAGCAGATACGAAACTGATGATTTAGAGCAGGAAAATCTGCTTCATTGGTGGATGCATTCTCCGTAGAGACTAATATCTTAAAATATAGTTCCACACTAGAATTAATAGAATAACAGAGTTGGAAGGGACCTTGGAGGTCTTCTAGTTCGACCCCCTGCTCAAGCAAGAGACCCTATACCAGTGATGGCTAACCTTTTTTGCTGTTGCGTGCCAGCCTTCCATCCTTTCTAAGGTGGGTAAAATGAGGACCCGGTTTGTGGGGGCAATAAGCTGACTTTGTATAAAATATACAAAAGTATGAAGGCTATTGCTTAACACATTGTAAGCCGCCCTGAGTCTCCAGAGAAGGCCGGCATATAAAAATAAATTTTTAAAAAAGGGGGGGAGCAGGGGGTATCGCGTGTGCGTGCCCACACCCATAATTCAATGCCCCCCCCCGTGCTCCCCCTGCTTTTGGCACGTGATGGCAAAAAGGTTATCGGAGGGCCTGGCAGGCCCGTTTTCCGCCCTCCCCAGGCTCCAGAGGCTTTCTTGGAGTCTGGGGAGGGCGAAAATGGCCTTCCCCACCCACCCTGGAGGCCCTCTGGAGGCCCATTTCCTAACTTCCGGTGGGCCCGGAAGGCCTGAAAATCAGCTGGCCAGCGTGTGCATGTGCGCTGGAGCTGAGCTAGGGCAACGCTCGCGTGCCCACAGATATGGCTCCACGTGCCACCTGTGGCACACATCATGGTCCTATACCATTCCAGACAAATGGCTGCCCAATCTCTTCTTAAAAACCTCCAGTGATGAAGCACCCACAACTTCTGGAGGCAAGTCGTTCCACTGGTTTATTGTTCTCACTTTCAAAAGTTTGTTCCAATACAACACAGAACATATTTCATACATAAATATTAGTAATATTTTATTAATATTCCTCTTTTTGATGAGCTGGGGTGGGGTCTTCCTGAAGTATTTTAGTTCTCTGTTGTAGATTTTTAGTATTTTGTGCTTAGTTTTGCGTATTGTGCAGCGTCTTCTATATTGTCATGATTCCCATCTCTCTCTCTTTTCCCTCTTTCTGTGTCCGATATCTACATTGCTTATTCTGCTGTATCTAACAGATTAATGTGCACTTCTGGCTGTTATTTTTTTTAATATATTAGAACACCACACCATACTTTTATTTCCTTCAATTCCTAAAGCTCATATCTCTTCTATTTTGTTCAGTTAACTCCTTGAATTTGAATCTTGCTTGCTTAATTTGTTTACCTTACAATTTTATCCTACTACTACTACACTCTTTGCACTTTGCACCGTCTTCAACCGCCCTTGCACTTTCCTGAGAATCCCCCCAACAAAGAATTACAGGTAGTCCTCAATTTATGACCACAATTGAGCCCAGCATTTCTGTTGTTAAGTGAGAAATTTGTTCAGTGAGTTTTGCCCCATTTCACGACTTTTCTCGCCACCTTTCTTAAGTGAATCACTGCAGTTCTTAAATTAGTCACGC